TTTCTGGGAAACCAGCTGGGAGTTTTCACAAAACAGCCCGTTGTTCCTCAAGAAGAAAATGGACGGGAACCTTTGGGGTTGGAAACTCCCAGAGGAGTCAGCTCTCCTTCCCAGCCTGGGGATGTGAATAGCCACTGAGGCCCTGAAGGGAGAGAATCAGGCAGGCCAAGGAATCACTGAACAGAAGTGAATGACACCAAAGAACTGGGAGTGGAATAATAAATATCCTTGTGCTGAAAGGGGATGTGGCCTATGTCACCTAACAGAGCACATTTTTGAAATTGCTACCCACAACTCCAAGATCAAAGGGAGACAGCTAGGGGAAAGAAAACAGAGATCCATCTGATAGACAATTTGACTTTTTCTCTTACCCAATTTGCTAATTCTTCTATCTCAAGTTACATACTTTTCTCTGAATTTATAACTATTGAAGAAGAAACATTATTTTATAATCTGTAGACATGCAGCTGGAGTTCTGCACATCGAGCCAGAAGTCAGAGTAGCACATTTCCTCACCATAAGGCACTATGAACACTTTCCAATTGACTAATGACATTAACTGACACTGAGTGACAACTGTTACTCATGGGTACTGTTTCCAAATGCATGATGAATAGGTGCTTATGGAATTCAAATACATTATCAAGTTATATTATGCTAGTAGTTGTGGAAGCTAAATGCTTATGACAATAAAGCTATTTGATAATGGCATGGAGTAGTAGAAAACATAAGGATATATATTATTACATTTTCATTGGGTAATTATTAAACATTTAAGATCAAATATCCTATTAAATCTTTTTCCAAGTTTAAGGTCAGAAACCATTTGACACTTGACAATGGCTGCTGCTTTACCATTCAGTATTTTATTTTACCTAACTGAGCATCAGCATTTATTAGATGTGTTTTCAAAATCGTCTTTAGCAGTATATAATCTTTTTTGTTTTAAATTTTTATTTTCAATTTTTAAAATATTGTGTTTTTAGAAGAAGAGATGGTAACTAGAATTAGTAAATAATTTGCATCAAAATTAAATCTTCCTGAATACTGTATTTGGATAAAATACTTGGTATATTTTTTTCTATTTTTTTTCACCTAATGGGATGTAATTGTGAACTATAAATGCATTATGCCCTTTAAATTTGATAAATTAGAAATTCTGCAGTTGGGTGTTTTTCTTCATTATTACTGCAATAGTTGCTTTCTCAGTCATTCCTATTCCAAAATCTACCTTTTTGTACACTCAGACTCTTTCCTCGTCCTACCTGGCCCTGTCAGTGTCTCCTCCCTGACTCTGGTCTCTGCCATCTTCTTTGCCTTCCCTTTTTATCTTTCTATGGCTTCTTTTTTAGGCAGATTATACTGCCTCGCCCAGTGCCTGGCACATACAGATATTTGGTGCATGTTGGTCCTTCTTTGTTCGTCTCTCTGATTATGTTTTCATGCTCTTTTTTTAGAACATTAGGACATCAATTTTGTTCTAGTTTTTTTTTAAGTTGATTCTTCTTTTACATGAAGGAAAATAGGGCACTTAACAATAATAGCTTAAGCTATAAAAGTCACACTCGCCCACACTCCCCTACCTACAAGGCATCTCACACACCATGCTTCATTTCCTTCTGTCCTTAACGCCATTTTACAGAGGAGGGAACAGAGCTGGAGGGACTGGACAAAGGCACTGAGATAATGTGTGAGAAGACAGAGCCTCAGGTCTTCCCTTCTGAACCAGACAACCTGATGCTTCCCCTTCAGAATCCTGCCCAGAAAAAGGGTGACAGTAAGTCAGACTCCACTAAATAGCTCTTGTCCCCAGCTTGTAAACTCTGATTTTTCTCTCCACAGGAAAAATTATTTAAATGTACTTAATATTGTATTCTTCTCGTTTTCCTCAGACTAACTTAGGCAGTGCTCAGGCTACCTTCTAAAATCAATGGGGAGTGTTTGATTATTCAAATTCAAACTTTCTTTCATTCTTTTCCCAAAACACAAAAGAAGTGTGAAACAGAGATTTTTATCAGAGATGCAATAAAATCCTTTAACTTCATTTACACCAGTGGTTCTCGACCAGAGATGATTCTTCTCCCTGAAGAACATTTGGCAACATCCAGAGATATTTTTTATTGTCACAACTTGGAGGAAGGAGGGACAGCTGGGAGGGACTGCCACTGGTATTTAGTAGGGAGCGAGGCCAGATGCTGAACATCCTACAATGCACAGGACAGCCCCTTATGACAAAGAATTATCCAACCCAAATGTCAGTAGCAATGAGGTTGAACACCCCTGCCCTAGAGTTTAACAAATAATAGTTATGCCAGTTTGCTGTAGGAAAAACAAAGTGTTATCCATTGATAGAAAGATTATACTTATGTTTGAAAATATTCTTTTTTTGACTTCTAGATAGTTTTACACCAGACTTCCACATTGTGATAAAACTAACTCAAACGCTGCTTATTTTCTATTCCGTTACCTGTTTTCCCTTCACTGGCTCCCAAATGTAACTGTCCTCAAAGTTTAATTCTCTGTCTTTTCAACAGTTACTCTCTCTTGAAGTACATACATAGCATCAGCTACACAATGTCCTTGACTTATGTAAATTGAATTTTCATACAATCCAGAATCTTTACTCTTATTCATTACACCTTAAACCACCTCTCATACATGGAATGTAGCTGCTAATGCATCAGCTGGCTGCCTGCTGATGAAGGGGGATAGGGGCAGGGAGGGGGCATGGGGGGAGATGTGCCTGTGCAGTGATCCCGGCTAAAGCCTGTGGGGGGCACAGCCAAGGCCGAAGCAGCACTCTCTGGCCTCCACCTGGAGAGGGCGCAGTCACAGTCTTCACCCCTTTTCCCCCTCAGTGTTCCCTGACTTCAGAAAAGCCAGGCATCCTTGCTCAGGAGGCACCGTCATTTCCTCGTTGTAACGTGGGTGGTCAGTGGCAGAGCCAGATCTGGGGCCATCTATCTCCAGAGACCATGCTCTTAACCATTCGATGACAAATTAGCTACATTTGGGGTGGGAACGTGTTTCTGTCTTTATTTCTGAGCCTTTTTTATTATGCATGTTTTGATTCAGAGGATCTGAACTGTGAAAGATTCTGCCCAGTTTCCTTGTGAAGTTTTTAAGTTGCATTGATCCACGACTCATCACAGTGGCGGCTCAGAGTCAGACACAGAGCCCTGGTCAGAAGTCACAGAACTGGGGTCTGGTCAGGGCCACCACTACCCTGTGTGGACCTGGTCAGGGTACTTCAACAGCCCAAAATGGCTCATCTAGTTATACAGAGAGACTACTATTTGCTCTACTCTGTAGTGTGATTGTCAGAATAGAATAAAGAGGATGGGAAAGAAGTTTGAAAAAGACACAAAAGAAAAAGTAAACATACAGTATAATTTTGACTCAGGATTTCAAAATTCAAAGGACTATATACATGAAGAATTAAAGTGGTTTCAAACTGGAAACAAGACCAATCTCATTTCTAATTGCATAGAAGGATTTCTAGGATATTTGTTTTACATTTTTCTGTATTAGGATATCAACAATAATATTAATTATGTGATCTATAAAGAGAGAGAGAAGACAGATGGAGAGTAAACATGAAGTTTGAAATTTGCACCCATCAGTGAGGTCCTGGTATGCCAAATGAGCATGACTGGTGACGTAATGAAATTATAATTTTAGTTGTATGTCCTTTTAACATTTATTCAATGGTGGTGGTTGGGAGGAAGGACTTGGGCAGGTTACATAACTTTTCTGACGAGTCTCAGATAAAAACATCTTACAGTCATATTAAATCAAAAACACAGTGTCAATCTGGTCACTGGAATTCCCAAGGAATAACCAAATCTCAGAACTTGTTCTGTGTTAAGCCTTCTCTATAGCTATGGACCAGAACTTTTGATATGGAGGTGGGGAGGGGCAGAAAGGAAGCAGGGGTGGGGGGAGGAGGGACAGGGACCAACTTCTGCTCTGTCCATGCCCGTGGTTCTTCCAGCCTCCTAGCAAGGCTTTGCCCTTTCAGGGTTGACCCCAGAGAGTGAAGGGATGGGGGATAGAGCACAGTCTGGTATGGGAAGTATCATTGCCATCGGATGCCAGGGCACCTGGGTGGCAGCTATTTAAAGGACACACTTTCTTTAGTTGTTATTTTCATGAGTTCCTTGAAGATTCCTGTTGCTGGAGCTCCCTCACCTGCAGTCCTTTTTCTCTTTCCTCCTTTCCAGCCCGTGGAATCTGGAGGTCAGTGTCCAGCTTCCTTTCTGCTGAGATTCCATTGCCTTCTTCATCGGCCCTATTGGGAGGATGACCACCTCTGGTCCACACACCTGCTTTCTTTCTCCTCCTCTCTGGGATGCTTTTCCCCCCAGTATTTTCCAAATGTAGCCCTGTCTACTCTCTCTCCCTGCCTAGATCACTTAAGATTTTTCAGGAACGCCTTAGTCATGTATGCAGCAGGACATGTCAGCTCTCCAAGAGGTTCACTGAAGCCCACTCCCACCAGGCTGGGGATGAAGGTGGCAGGCCCACCTGATGCCCACAGCCTTCTCGGGTGGTGGCAGAGATTGCCCCCAGTGCGCCAGCTTTTCCTAAATTACTCACCTCACAAATCCTCCTTTCTTGCCACACTCTGCCCCCTTTGGATAAGCTTGATCTGACGTAGGGGTTCAGTAGTAGTGGAACCGGTCAGGAAAGCTTTCTGCTGTAAGCTTCGCACACAATGATCTGTCCTGGGCTCACTCTGGTGTCTGATATCTATTACATTGGCCTATCTGAAACTGAGTCAGAGTCCTATATGAACATCCTTTTACGAGTGGCTCTTTGCAGCTTCAAGCACGCCCAGCTCTGCTCTTTCTTCCAATTTGTTCATAGTACACAGCCCCAGTAAGGGGCCAGGTTGACCGTCAGCAGAGGCCTTATTTTAAAAAACCCTTGGTTTCAGAAGCAAAGTACAAACCCCAGTCACTCATTTTATCCATCTTTTTTATCCCCGTCAATTATAGGAGGAAATGAGCGAACAAATCAACGTTTCCGTCTCTACTGGGCTTGGATCGCTTTGGAGAGAGAGTACTACATCGTGGATGAGGACTCCATGGTCTTGGAAGTGACCCTCACACGCAGAGGGTATCTCGGAGAAACATCTTTTATCAGTAAGTAACTGGACGGGTTGTTGGCAAAAGGTAACGGAAACATGAAATTTAGGCTTAAAGATTACTGTAAGAGAATGGATTGAAACAGAATCAAAAATGGATTGGAGAAAACTTCTGAAAAAAATGTGTGTGAAATTTTGCCATGGTTTTCATGCCATGTGAATTACAGGCTTATATACAGCAATTTTTTATCCTCTGTCTCTATTTTCCCCTTTCTTTTTCTTTTCAACTCAAAGGACTACAGGAAAATTAAAACATTTCATAGCCATCACTCAGTTTCTTTCAAAATTGCTTTTAAGCGTATAACACATTATTGTGCTTATTTCTAGCTGTTTCTTTTGAAAAATTATTTGAGTACATGACCTATTATTGTGTTATTTGCAGCTCTTTCTTTTGATAATGTGTAATTTTTTTAACCCTGCTATTAGGTTATAAATTCCTCCAAGATATGAACAGTGGGAAATGTTTCTATGTTCTACAAAAAACTGTGCATCTTTGGGGTAAACAGATACGTAATGCCTACATAATACATCTCATTCGCATCTTTAATAATCAGTGATAATTGCTCTAATAATGCATTTCATTTCTATAACATTTTTAGCTGCCAGAACTCATCATTTTGCCATTATTTTCATAATCTGTTGTGAAGACAGATAGCAGCGTGTTATCTTCATTTTACAAATGAGCATTTTGAGTTTATCAGATATTTGGGGTCCAGAGTCCTGCCAACTTATCAGGGCTGTTGGAGAGAAGCCAGGAAAGAGATGGCTGGGAACAGACAATCAAGGAAAGGCATGCTTTTCCCCATCTCCTCTCCAGGCTCAGGGCCTCTGAGTCAGGACTGTTCCCCTAGGAGAAGAGGCCAGCCAGAGAACACCCTGATTCCCACGCGGCCCTCAGCCTCCGTCTACCCGCAGGTCACTTTATCAACACACAGTGGAACTTGCTGTCAGGAACTTCAGCTGAAACATGGCCTCTTTCTTCTTGGGAGGTTCTGTGTCCACGATTCTTTATCTTGGGAATTTCTCATGGGCAAAGATTTGGGTTATTATGTTGAGTATTTTCATATACTGCCTGGCTCAGGGAAAAAAACTGTCTCTCTGCCCAGAACCGTCTGGATGCTTGTAGAGTAACTAACCTCCTCAGGGAGGTGGCCCCGGACCTCCTCATCTGAGCCAGCACCCCCGTGTGCCCTCTCCCCGTGCCCCGCTTTATTGTTTCTCCATGGCATTCGCCATCCCTGATACGCATCATATGTCCGTCTGTCCACTGCCTGTCTTCCTCGGTAGATTTCCAGCTCCATAAGGGCAGGAAATACATCCTGGGTCATGGCCAACCCCCCAAAACAGCGTGGGGCATATTATAGTCAAGCAATATTTATTGTTATGTGAACTACAGTCAGCTCTTTCATTCTATAAAATATTACTTAAAACCACAGCAACATCGCAGTATCTACAAAATACCTTACTCAGTGCTCCGGGAAGCCCTCCCTCCCGCCTCTCCCCAGCCCATGCCGGGGTTAGTAGTCCAAGCACAGGATCTAGGAGAAAACAAGACAAGACAGAACAACTGTGGGATTTGGACTCTTGCTCAGATATGTACTCTGGTTTTTGTGACACACTAATGACCTTCAATTTCCTCATCTGTAAAGTATCCATCTCAAGATTTATTTGTGGATTAAATGTGATAACGAGTATAAATCAAATCTAGCCGAGTCCCTAGCACACAATGAATACTCAATAAATGTGAACGACCACTAGTATTTCACTGCTCTCATCCAACAGAACTGAAATCACCTGTTTCTCTCCCCCAAAGACTTGCAAACCCCTCAGGGGTAGTGGTGGCTGTACCTAGTCCAGCATTACAGCCTCAGCACCTCGCGCAGAGCCGGTAGTCACCAAAAATTAATGGCCACTTGCCTGCACAATTTATATACCAGTGCCACCTAGCTCTACTTAAACTGTTGCCGAGCACTGTGGGAAACAATATGGAGGGTTCTCAAAAAACTAAAACTAGAACTACCATATGACCCAGCGATTGCACCCCTGGGTATATGTCTGAGAAAACAAAGACACTAATTAGAAAAGACACATGCACCCCAATGTTCATAGCAGCGTTGTTAATAATTGCCAAGGTACATAAGCAACTTAAGTGTCCATCAACAGATGAATGGATAAAGAAGATGCCATATATATATTATATATATACATATACACATATGCATACACACAAGGGAACATTAGTCACAAAAAAGAATGAAAGTTTGCCATTTGCAGCAACATGGACATCACACTAAGTGAAGTAAGTCAGAGAAAGACAAATACTGTATAATATCACTTACATGGAGAATCTAAAAAATACAACAAACTAGTAAATATAACAAAAAAGCAGCAGACTCACAGATACAGAGAACAAACTAGTGGTGATCAGCAAGGAGAGGGGAGGGGGGAAGGGCACGGTAGGGGAAGGGGATTAAGAGATACAAGCTATTAGGTACAAAATAAGCTACAAGGATATACTGTACAACATGGGGAATTTAGCAAATATTTTATAATCACTATAAATGGAGTATAACATTTAAAAATTGCGAATCACTATATTGTACACCTGTAACAGCTACTATGCTTCAATTTTAAAAATAAATAAATAACTGTGGCTGAGGACACACCTTCCTCTTCCTTATCTTTTCCATGTCAACAGGGAGGCTCTTCCAAATTGAACATCCATTCTCAGTTGCCAAACTAGTATTAAGGCTTTCTTCAGCAGTTTTGAAAAGTCAATGCTAGCTCTTCTATCCTGGAAATTATTTTCATGCTTTAGAGCTTTGGGCATCTTTTACATGATGTCAGATTCTCTAAGAATGAGACCAGAAATGGCACAAGGGGCTCTGAATCTCATTTTATATAAAGCCTTTCACAATAGCTGGTGTCAGGCCATAATAGTTGATTTCACACATTCAAACAACTGCAGAGTCTAAACCTTATAATGAAACCCGGGTATCCATGCTCCGTTAGGTGTTCATTGGGATGATAAATCAAAACCAAACAATACTAGAATGCTGAACACTCCCTGAAGAGGGGAGGATTGGTTCAGTTTTGATGGGCTAGTACCTTCCACCCTTGTATCTCACACTGGGTATTTTTAACACTGTTTCGTTGTTGTTCAGTTCCTTCAGTACATTGCTGCTTCCTATTTCCTAACAGTATTCAAATCTATACCCATCTGTCTGTTCCCACCAACGGTGTCTTATTTGTCTGGAAAATTACTAACAATCTCTCACCATCAAAAATCAGTAAACACATTTTTAAAAAATCAAGCCACTGTGACTAAAGATCTGCATGAGGAAAATACCCTAGAATTATTCTTCCAGAGGCTGCAGAAATTGAAATGATCAGATACAAAATATTTACTCAAAAAATACTTACTGACTCCCTACTCCATGCCAGGCACCGTTGTAATCACTCAGAGTCCATCAGTGAACCAAACAGCCAAAGGTCTCTGCCTCCATGGGGTTTGCATTCTAGCATCTTCTCCCTTAGGCTCTGAGCTTTCTGGAGCTGGAACAGTTTCTTACTCACCTCTGAATCCCGAGCACCTGGCAGAGCTTGGCACATCAAATGCCCTCAGTGAACATTTGAAGAGTTCTCTGTCCTCTCTCTTCTGTCACTCCTCCTTCCCCGCTTTCCTCTCACTTTCATGCCCCTCTGCTTAGATACATTGTCTAAGCCAAAAGTAGAGTTTATAACTCTAATTCAAAAAGATGCATGTACTCCAATGTTCATCACAACACTTTTTAAAGCAGCCAAGACATAGAAACAACACAATAGATGATTGGCTTAAGAAGCTGTGGTGTGTGTGTGTGTGTGTGTGTGTGTGTGTGTGTGTGTGTATATATATATATATATATATATATATATATATATATATAATGGAATATTACTCAGCCATAAAAAAGAATGAAATAATGCCATTTGTAGCAACATGGGTAGAACTAGGGAATATTATACTTAATGGAGTAAGTCAGACAGAGAAAGACAAATATTATATGATATCACTTATATGTAGAATATAAAAAAATAGTACAAATGTGTCTATATACAAAACAGAAACAGATTCACAGACATAGAAAACAAACTTATGGTTATCCAAGGGGACAGTGTTGGGTGGGATAAATTAGGAGTAAGGGATTAACAGATACAAACTACTATATATAAAATAGATAAACAATAAGGATTTACTGCATAACAAAGGGAACTGTATTCAATATCTTATAATAGCCTATAATGGAAAATAATTGAATTATATATATTTATTTATATAGAAAGTTATTTATATATATAAAAAAACTGAATCATTTTGCTGTACACCTGAAGCTAACACAATATTGTAAATCAGCTGTACTTCAATTGAAAAACAAAGCTTATAAGTATCTTCTGGGAACATTAAAAGAAGCAATTTCTGTGTTATTTGCTTTTCATCAACAATAGAATCCACTGTGAAGGAACATCTCTTCTTCAGTCACTTGGCTTTATATTTATAGTCCCTGATTTTTGTTTAGGCATTGTAACCAAAGAAGAAACTGCAAAAGAAGGTAAAGATTTTAAACAAAAGGCTGAGACACAGGTACAATTCAATCCTGGACAGACTACAGCCACGTGGAGAGTGAGAATTCTATCTGACAAGGAATACGAAGCTTCAGAGACCTTCCAGATCATTCTGACGAACCCTATCTTGGCTGCACTGGAGTTTCCAGAAATGGCAACTGTTGAAATTGTGGACCCTGAAGATGGTATGTGGCTCCTATTGATATGATCTATTAACCAGGATGGGCTCCGGGTCCATTTCAGGCCTTTTTAGCTCCCCCAGGCTCCATAAGCCACTGGACATGTTCATACCATTCAAGATTTAAAGCTAGGTAAATCATCTCAAGGCAGTAATTCTTCCTTTGTTTGTAGGGTTTTTGAAAAGGGATATAGAAAATTGAAATAGACAGGACTTTGCCAACCTTCCTTTAACAAATGCCTAAGTCCTCCTCGTTAGTTCTCCGCACACTCTATATGGCGCAGCTTTGCCCCCAAGTGGGCTCATTCCAGGCCCACCATCTTCTCACAGTTTTCTGGAAGCTCCCCACCAGATCAGGTGGGGACCTCGTATATCCCTTGCCCTAGATGTGGCCTCTGAGAACCAGCCAACTCATTAATTTTAGCATGTGTTCCACAAAGTTCTGTTAGAGTTGTGCATCATATTCTTGAATTCATCAGTTCATTCCACTCACTGATTGGTTCATTCATTCAGCAAATTTCTCCTCAGGGAAATTAAAAAGGGGAAAAAAAAGAAACTTTAGCCAGTGATTGTGCTATGTGCTCCCCCTTTTTGGGAAAGTAGAACAATAGTCCTTTAAAGAAGATTTTAGCATTCTTATATGAATTTTAATTAGACACATTAATTATCAAGATAGTTGAAGTGATTCAAGTATTGCCCAGAAGTACATGACTTCACTCTCAGGAAGTCTTAGGAAAATGCCACAAGGATCTACAAGAATCCTCTGTATTAACGTGCCCCAAACTGCATAACAGAAGCTGTAATATAATAGAATTTCTACAGCAGAATTAGAAAACTTTACATGGCCCAAATAAGCCTAAGAAACTTTTCAAGTAACTCCCCTGTTTTGAAGCATCATAATTCACATTGCCTACAAGGTTTCTGAGAAACCTTCCTATAAAGAAACCTGTTTAACTTTATTTAACCAGTTTTCCCAAACTAGACTATAGACCTTTTTTTTTTTTTAATTTGTTGTCCCCAGAGAATATCCTTTAAAATCTCTGAGTTCTAGTTTTCTTGAAACACAATTTGAGAAATACTGTTCTATGGGTCTTGCTCTCCAGCAGACAAAAATAGAAAACACAGCCCACACCACCCAACGAACTAGGTATCTGATCCATTTTGTTGATAACAACACTTAGACCCACGAATCCATCAGGAAAGCCAAATGTGAGGGCACATGGCAAAAACAGTAAGAGTTCTGAGGTAAGAAAGTAGAGAGATCACCATCATTCTAAGCAGTGAAGCTTTTTGGATTTGAGGCAGGATTTGAGCTAGTCTTGAAGAATACAATGGGCTTTGGATGTGTAGTTAGATGCAAACAGATCTTCCAGAATGAGAAAATAGAGCATGTGACTGAATAACTTCATCCTAATGTATCTATTTTTATAGCAAGACAGTAATAACTTTAATTTACTTTTAGCTTCTTCCCCGATGACAACCTTTTGAATCGAGAGATGTGCAGACAGTAGACTACCATAGCTAAGTAAAGTGCCAGAAAGAAAATTATCACTGGTCTTCCTCCTCTGTAACTTGGGGCCGGTATTTTCCTAGAGACTGAGAGCAGTACTTGTTGGAACCAATTTAGGCAGGAAAAGAAAGAAGAAAAAGATTTAACATATGATAACTAGATAATTCAACGTTGAATTTGAGTTATCACTTAGTAATAGTTCCAAAAGAAGAAAGGATGGCCTCCTACAATACTTTTCCTTCTTGCTCCCATCACCAAGAGGAGGAATCTTTGTGTATAGATGATGTGGAGGAGAGCTCTGAGAGTCTCCACTTGACTGAGTAGGAACAACCTACCTCAAAATTTTATTTTTTAAACCAACACATATATTTTAACTACAGAATGCATGCTTAATGAAAAGCCTTGGAAAACACTGAAAAGTCCAAAGAAAAATAGTGCATGTAATTCCATCAACAAGAGATGACCAGTATTCCTATTCATATTTTAGTGACTGCTCTGATGATGTATATGTGTACAGTTATCCAAACTGCATAGCAGAGAACAGTAATATAACAGAAGTACATACACACACACACACGTAAATGTCAGTGGGAATATCATTTTAAGAATTAAGGGCAGGATGACTATCTTATTTTTCTCAGCATATTAAGTAGTCAGCCCTGTATCTCACACACGGTATCTGCTCAATAAATGTTGAATCAAATGTTTCTTGAATAAAGCAGGAAAAAATATTTTTATGGTAATGAATTAGATTATCTGATTGTTAAAAGCATTAAAAAAGCACTAAAAGTGAAAGAAGGGCAGAAATCTGTGAACTTCATTTAGAAGACCTAAAATGTGACCTCAAAAAAAAAAAAGGCAACAAAATTCTGTGATTTCTCTTTCCATTTTAGTGCTAGATAATCTTTTTAACCTTTCCAAAGGGGTCTCCTAAACTCAATTCCACTGCCTCTCCAGTTCCACTTAATGATAAATATTTCCTATTCTTACTATATTTCATATAGTTAGTCATATTGGAAAATATAGGGGTCAAAGATTATGTGCATTTCTGCTTGGATGAAATACCACCAGTATTGCCAGTCAAATTGAAGTCTTGCTGAAAAATCTTCTTCCATCTTTCCTAGAGTCAACAGTTTATATTCCAGAGGCAGAATACAAAATAGAGGAGGATGTCGGGGAGCTTTTGATTCCTGTAAGACGGTCGGGAGATGCAAGCCAAGAACTCACAGTCATCTGCTCTACACATCAAGGTATGAGGCTTTGCTGGTACTGATATCCAGGAATAGGGTCTTAGTACAGGACCGCGGTGATGCTGGAGGTGGCTGGGTGGTGACCTCTGCTCCTTGACTCCATGCAACACTGTGTGGGTGCCCTAACTGCTCTGAGCTGATCTCCTCCACCAGGGATAAAATTATACTCGAAACTGGAATTCAAAACCTCTGTTGTGACTATCCACAAAATTTTGTGAGGGTCAGATTAGACATTTTATATAAAATAGTGTATATATGCTGGTAGAAAGTATAAATAAGGATTCTTAAATTTTAATAGTCATCATTGCATAAAGGAAACAACATGAAATGGTCTGTATACACCACTCAGTCGCTCTTCTTCGCCTCCCTCCACCCCTCCAACAACTAAAAATCCCCCCCCAATCATGGGCCCAGCTGTCCTCACAACTCAAAACAACATCCCATTCTTTCTGACCTTGCCATTCTGTACAGTCAAAATTTAGCTCTCCTGTGTCTACTCATATCTTCTAACTCATTAGAACTATGTAATAGACAAAAATGATGGAACTATATGAAAACCATCCAAATGAGAGCAAGAGTAGGCTATAAAGGAAAACTCCACTCTTCTACACTCACACCAGCATCTCACTTCTGACAGCAGACCTGTGCAGGTTTCCCCCACACTAAGCAATTCTCCAGTTCCTGCAGATACCCCACTAGATGTCCTGAAACTGTTCAACTCTGACACGATCTACCTGGAGATAACACAGAGCCCACATGTTACGGGCTCTGTCCCACAAGACTGCCCCCACTTCAGATGCCCATAGCAAGTACAGGTTGTCACCTGTGCTTCTGATCAACAGGGTGTAAACTGGAGGTTCCCACCACCCCCTCTTTGGATTCGATAATTTTCTAAAACAGCTAACATGATTTGGGAAAACAGTTTACTTACTAGATTACAAGTCTATTACAAAGGATACAACCCAGGAACAGCCAGATGAAAGAGATGTGTAAGCTAAGGTCTGTTGGAAGGGACACAGAACTGCCATGCTCTCTCTGGGCACTCATCCTCCCGGCACCTCCATGTGTGCAGCAACCTGGAAGCTCTCTGAGCTCCTTTGGCTAGAATTTTTTTTTATGGAGGCTTCATTACAGAGGCATGATTGATGAATTCTTGGCCTTTGGTGATTAACTCAACTTCCAGCCCCTGTCCTCTCCCTGGAGGCTAGGGAGTGGGGCTAAAAATTCCTACCCTTTAATCACCTGGTTGGTTTCCTTGGCAACCAGTCCCTATCCCGAGGCTCTCCAGGAGCCCCAGCACAGTCATCTCATTAGCATACAAAACAACCCATCACTTTAAAGTCTCTAAGGGTTTTAGGAGCTGTGCGCCAGGAAATGGAGATGACCATATGTGTGTTACTTATGTCCAAGGCTAATTTATTCAGAGCTCATGGTAGCAGGAGGGTCAGCCACCATCTCTAGCATTCAGCAGAGACTCAAAGGCAGGCAGAGGAGTGAAAAGCTTTATAGTGCAAAAAAAGGGGAGTCTTCAAGATAAACCCTGATTGGAGGCTGTCAGCTTGGGAAGCTGGACGCACCCTGTGTAACTGATTAGGGGAGCATGTTTGGCTTTCTCTAGTTGGTCCTAAATTGGAAGCTGGGGCAGAAATTAGAGGAACTGGGAATTGTGAAGTCCCGACCAATTGGGGCCGATTGTTAACAGCAGTTGTGGTTTGACTTCCTACACTAGTTGCTGCAGATTGCAGGTCAGAGTTCTACTTCTATACATGGTCTTTTATTCATACTCTTCTTTCGTATATCCAGTCTGTTGAAATCTCTGCTCACACTTGCTAAACATCTGACAATGCACAACCCCCACAGTAAAAAATTATCTATTCAACATATCAACTTCAGGGGTGGGTATAGCTCAGTGGTAGAGTGCATGCTTAGTGTGCACGAGTCCTGGGTTCCATCCCCAGTGCCTCTGTTACCCCAAAAGGGGAAGGCCTCGGTTCTCATCTTGCCAGAGAAGAGAAGAATTCAGATGGGAGACAAAAGCATTGTGTAGTTTAAAATTTTTAAGATTTTATTAGCAAAGCAAAAGTATACGTCCAAGAGCGGAAGGCAGGCTGATCCAAGAGAGGATAGCAGCTCCGGTCTTTGTCACTCTGTCTTATACCCTCCCTTAGGGACGATCTCTTAATTGATTGATGGCTCTTGCCCCTGGAGTGCTTAGTCATGCCCAGCCCCCTTACCCATCATGCACACAGGAAAATCCACGGTGGGGGGGGAGTGTTCCTAAGCCACAGTGCTAATTACATTACAGTGAGTATTGGTTCATGTCCAGTTAGGTCCTTGTCACTACCATGCAGTTGCAGCCATCTGGTCCCAACTGGTTTCTTGCTGGCACTCATCCAGAGAAAGTAAAGCCCCTTATGCTGAAGACGGGCATATCACCATCTTCCAGACCATCCTCCCTGTCCTCCACCTTATCAGCCCAGTGCGCCCACTTATCTAACTACCTAACACCTTCATTTGAAAAACAGAAAAAAAGAAAATATAAGCCAATTTTTAAAAAACAAAAAAATCTCAAAATATCAGTAGTGCCAAAGTTGAGAAGAGGAAAAAGAATAAATTCTCCTCTGCCTCAGAGGACAGGCAGTATGCACACAACTTATTCTGAGATACTCGAAACCAGCTACAAGGACAAGGCTTTCCAGCACAGCTTCAAGATCTTCCTGTTTGTGTTTGGTTGTATGTTTAGAGTCAGACAGCCCAGTAGCCTGTCCTTTAACTAAGGATCTCTTGAAGGCATCAGATACCGCCAGCTACCTGTAACTTCAGCAGTTCTTAAGTTTTACCGTGGTGTTACCTCATGTGGGAAAAGCAACAAGAAGAAATAACACAGCAAGGCAGTCCTTCAGGTCTTCTTTGTCAGCTGATCCCTGGGAGGACGTGCCAGCACTCTGTTCCAGGTCCACTCGGGGCTCTAGTTGGGGGTCTTACAAAGAATGAGGGTTCACAGGGCAGTGGCTGCAGGTGGGCAGAGCAGCTGTGGGAGGAAGGACCCTCTTCATCTGCCCTAGTGTTCCAGCTGGGCTGCTTCCGGGACTGGTGGCATACTCCCTGTCCACAAGCAGAGCGTCTGGAAGACAATGATTCTAGGTCTCCTAGATGTGAATGGGAGAAATGAAGTGGAAAGTGGCCCAATTTGGAAGATAATGTATAATTAATAAATAGAAAGGGGCCATCCTTCTGCCTCTGGAAAGAGCTACGCTGTGAAAGGACAAGCAGAGGGAACCGGGGAAGAACACAGTGTCTGGCAGTAAACCAGCCAGGATACGGGGATGCCTCCTCCCCAGGAGGCTGAAGCTACACCCCAGCTGAGCTTCCCATAAGGGGTTCAGGTTCAAGGGCTGGTGTTCCCGGAAAGCTCCTGTGTCCCTGGCACACAACTCAGACTCTTTGGCACCTGAGCTTTAACCCTTGATTCCTCACACAAAGGACTATTCTCACACCTGCAATAAAAATAAAGGAGAGAGAATATGACGGGGTCAGGGTCCTTCCCTGGAGCACGAAGCCATGGTGTGCACACTCCAATCCTGATTCTCGTACACCTCTGTAGAATTGTAAGACAGAGAGCACTTCTGCAATTTTAATGCACACTCAAGCATCATTATGGCATCTGTCTTAACCTACTCCCCTCAGACAATTAAGTATCTCAGAGGATAAATTCAATTTGGTTATTTAAACTTTTCTGTAAGCCTTGTTAAAACAAATGTCTACCGATTATGCATTTCCATGAATAAAATAAACATGACTCATGTATAAACAGTTGAATGGAAAGCAGACTCGCGCTCTCTACATTAATAGTGATTCACAGATACAACCGTGTAATAATACACTTGCAAGCAGATGAAAGAGGCAGATTTATGTTGTGTTTTCATGGGAATCTCAAGATCCCCAAATGTATTCTCAGACAATGATGTGGAAGTATTGTATTTAAAAAGAAAATATTGGGAGAAGAAGAGCTGAAGGAATAAACTCTCCATCATTGGCTGAGAACTATTGCTCTAAATTGTTTTAATCTCCAGGATATATTGGAGAAGGATGTGCAAATTAGACAGTTTTTGGCCCTGTTTTATTCTCAAGATAATCATCTTTTTCTTTTCAATAGTCACTTTCTCGTTGGGAAATTGCCCGTCTTGGAAAAACAGCCAATGAAGAACAAGACACTAGAACCTAAACCCAATAAAACAGAAACAGTATCGAATCATCCTGTGGGTTTTTTTTTTTTCACCCTGTGGTTTTGGTCAGTGCAAAGTCAGATATGTTGAGGTTTTTAAAACAATCAACTTTATCCAGTTGAAGGGACTGTGGTAAACCACAGCCATGGACCACCCCACGTCTGTGATTAGATTGTTTCTCTGGGTCAAGTTAAGAGGTAGAAAGCAGGTTCCAAGCACATCCAGGCAAAAGACTTTCTCCTTTGCCTAGAAAAAAAGAATCTGTTTTTATTTATTTGGGTATCAGTGTGTTTATAGGTTTTAGAAGTTATACCTTGCATCTCAAAGGGGTTCTTTGGATGATTTAGAAGTCCCTTGACTGAAGGTCTGCCAAGGGTTAATCCTTAGTTTTTTGTTTATCAGAACGTGTCTTCACTTCAACCTCAGTCGTGAAATTCTAGGTGGATAGTTATTTTCTCCCAGCATTTTGGAGTTATTATTCCATTGTCTTCTGCCTCCCATTGTCTTGCTAAAAAGTCTGCTTTTGGTCTAAAAGTCGTCTTCGTTGTGATCTGTCTTTTCTATGCATTTAAGATCCTCTTAAAATTATCTGAATCTGTGAAAGATCTGGGGGCTTTACTTGAAGATGTTTTCCTCCAAGGCAGATTTGCGTGGCTTATCCTGGGATCTGAGAGCAGTGCTGACCCAGAAATACTCCTACTCCCCTGCGTCCCAGGCCAGATCGCAGAGTTTCAGATTCACCTCCCTGACGGTGCCATAGGTCCGTGGCCCAGTCTCCCCTGCAGTGCTGATTCTGAATCCCAGCTTGAGTGGGAATCTCTTCTCTAGCTTTAGTGTTTTGGAGTTTGGGGTTTTAAGGTGTTCTTTTTGGTTTTGCTTGGTTTTGGCCCTTGATGATTTCCCTTACCTCCTGTGAGCACAGAAAAGCCAGAATAATTATTTCTTCTAGATGTTTTGCAGTGGGAGAGCATCTCAGAATACCTAGCCAGCCAAACTGCTGGGAACAGATGTCCCAGACGACTCTAGACAGAAGCTCCCATGCTGCTCCAGCCCTGTTTCTCCCCTCTCCACTTCTCTCCACTCACTCCCGCACCTCCCCCCAGTCATGGACCCCTCTGAGCATGAAATGAACCGTGCCTGGGGCTTCTGACACTGCCTACTCTGACCAGGAGTTTGATGCTATGTTTTTTACAGAAAGGCAATATCTTGTCTTGCTGCCGTATTAAAAATATACATTAAAGGAAATTTGTCTATTTAAAAGAATTTGTAATCGAGTAATACAATAACTAAAGACAACAGGGGGAAGTTAAAAAATGCTCTATTGGGAGATGGAACTTTGACTCCTGGACAAGACACTGGGGTGTTCTCTGCCTCGATTTCCTCATTAATAAAGTATCCTAGCCACCTCATAAAGTTATCAAATGCCATGCTATAGTGATTCAGTCACCCTTTAATGTGGCTTCTTGAGAGATCTTTCTCTCTGACTCAAAGCATCATTTATGATTTTTATAGAGCAAGTGTACTATGTAGCCATAGAGACTGTGCCATAGGCACCCTCTGTAAAGCAACAATTAATTTTTAAAATAATTTCATAGATTCTCAGACTCCCTGTCTGAGATGGGCATGGATGGGGAAGCCTATGCTGTTGTCATCATGGATGGAGTGGTGTGCTGGATCCAGCCAGTACTCCTCATGAGAGTCAGTTGCTTGCATCTCTTCCCAACTCTGGGTTCAGTAACTTCACATTGATAGTGAAACTGGCCATGGTGGGAATATTTACATGACAAAAATCAGCCAAAGCTACAAATCAGGGATTTTGTGTGGCTTTCTGGTTTGTTTCTTAAACATTTAGCAGCATACCACCATGTTAGTCTGAAATGAATTCTTTGGTTCTAACATTAATTTTAGAGAATTAAACCCCTCCTCAGTAAGACGGTTCATCTTGCCCCATAATCTACCCCTGCAAACGACAAGGGATGTAGAGTCAGTGCCTTCTGAGCAAATCCTCAGAAGTCACTTTGGAAATAATTCTCATTTTTAAACAAGCTGTATTTATACAGGCAGCACACACTCATAGATGACAATTTGTATTTGTGTTGATTTATATTAGCAAGAAGAAAGTGGATGTTGGTGTTAGCATGCATATATGCACGTACCATAGCTATAAGCAAAAGAGACCCTTGCTGGACCTAGAGTGTCTGACCTAGGAGCTCACTGTCATACCCCCATTGCTTTTTACTAAGGAGAAGTGTGGTGGGAAACACTTATGATTTTCGAAAATTACTTATTTGGTATATTGAGTTACTGCACAAAATCTTTGTCTCCTGAATCTGGTCTGTCTAAATCTTTTCAATCACTGTGACTACTTTTTATTCTTTGAGCTCTAAACCTGTGCATTGCTACATTTTTAATACTGCAAAGGAGTGCACTGAATTACACTGCTGATGGGATTGTAAGATGGTACAGCTGCTATGGGAAATAGTATAGCAGATCCTCAAAAAATTACAAATAAAATTACCATATGGTCCAACATATATCCCACATCTGGGTATATATCCAAAAGAATTAAAAGCAGGGTCTCAGAGAGATAGTTGCACACATGTTCATAGCAACATTATTCACAGTAACCAACAGGTGAAACAACCGAAATATTCATGGCTGGTTGAATGGATAAACAAGATGTGGTGTGACCATACAATAAAATAGTATTTATTCAGCCTTAAGAAAAGAAGGAAAGTCTGACACATGCTACATTGAGGATGTGTAGGTAGCATGTGTCAGAATTTGAGGACATTATGCTACGTGAAATAATAAGCCAGTCACAAAAGACAAATACTGTATAATTCCACTTATACCCAGTACCTACAGTAGACAAGTTCATAGAGACAGAAAGTAAAACGGTGGTGTCCAGAGACTGGAGTGAGGAGGAAAGAGGGAGTTGTTTAACGGGTACAGAGTTTCAGTTTTGAAAGATGCAAAAGTCCTGGAGATGTTTCACAATAACGTGAATAGGCAACCCTACTGAACTGTACACCTAAAAATAGTTGAGCTGGTAGGGGAGGGGATAGCTCAGTGGCAGAGCACGTGCTCAACATGCACAAGGTCTGGGTTCAATCCCCAGTGCCTCTGTTAAAATAAACAAACAAACAAACCTAATCACCTCTCCCCAAGATGATAAATTTTAGATTATGTTCATTTCCCACAATGAAAACAGTGCACTAAATCCCAGAAACCCCTCCTCTAAGTATTTACTCAAGAGAAATAAAATGATACATCTACTCAAAGACCTGTGCTTGAATATTTACAGCAGCATTATTCAGAATAGCTAAAAACTGAAGCAACCCAGATTTCCAACTGGTAAATGGGAAAACAAATTCTGGTGCAGCCACACAATGAGGAGCACTGTTTAGGAACAAAAAAGAAGAAAATCCTGATGTATCGATACATCTTCAACACATAGTGCTAAATGAAAGGAATCAGGCACAAAAGGCTGAAAACCACATGGTTTCATTTCCATGAAATTGTCTGAAAGGCAAGTAAATCTATGGTGACAGAAAATGGATGAGTGGCTTCCCGGGCTGGGAGACAGGCAAGCAGAGATTACAAGGGGTACACATTAACTTTGGTCGGTGGGTAAAATGCTCAACATTATGCTTGTGCTCATGGTTACATGACTGCATATATTTGTCAAAACTCATCAAATGGTGCATTTAAATTGGGGAATCTTAACGTGTAAATTATTATTACAGAATTTTAAGTGTACTGCATCTAAACTAAAATTGTCTGATCAATCCTGTACTCCTTGTAAAATAAGTAATTTTGTGGCTGTATTTTGGTGTCATGTGAAGAACTCTAGGCAAGATCTGAAGGTCAGATTACATAGATGGCACTGACAGCTCTGCCACTAAGGGGAGGGCAGGGGTAGGGGATAGATTCTCTGGTTATAATTTTATCTGTACTTCAGTTTTCCAGTCTATAACAGGAACAAATTAAGTTAAACCAGACCCACCATCCTATGATCCTTCAGCTTATTTAGCCCCTAATCTAAACAAACTTTATGCTGGTGCAGCCATTGTGGAAAACAGTATGGAAATTTCTCAGAAAACTAAAAATAGACTTACCATATGATCCAACAGTCCCACTCCTGGGCATATATCCAGAGACAACCTTAATTCAAAAAGACACCTACACCCCAATGTTCATAACAGCCCTATTTACAATATCCAAGACATGGAAACAACCTAAATGTCCATCAACAGATGACTGGATAAAGAAGTTGTGGGGGGGGGGGTTGTAATGGAATACTACTCAGCCATAAAAAATAATAAAATAACGCTATTTGCAGCAACATGGAGAATGTCATTCTAAGTGAAGTAAGCCAGAAAGAGAAAGAAAAATATCACATGATATCACTTATATGTGATATCTAAAAAAAAAAAGTAAAACTTATGCAATATATACCCTATTTAAAGACCACTAACTGTGGATCATGTTAGAACAGCAGGATCTGTTCTTAAAGCCTTCTAATTATAATATTAATATTTGTGACTGTAAGAGGTAAGTGTGCCTTATAATTCAGATAGCTCTTATCTAAAAATAGTTTGAAGAAAACTCAGTGGGGAGTGGGCTTCCTGTTCAGAACTCCATGTCTTCTCACCTCTGTTCCATCTCCTATTTCCATAGGTTCTGCCACAGGCACCCTACCTCCCACAGTGTTATCTTTCTCTGACTACATCTCACGTCCAAAAGATCACACTAGCATCCTCCATTTTGACAAGGATGAAGTTGAGAACGCCTGCCGGGTCCTGATCATCGATGACTCCCTCTATGAAGAGGAGGAATCCTTCAGCGTTTCACTGAGCCTGCCAACGGGAGGGCAACTGGGGGCCAGATTCCCCACCACCAAGGTGGTTATCCTGGCTGACCGTGATGATGGTAAGTCCATTTCCTCCTTTCCATTCTTGGCAATAACTACCTTCTTCTCATACTTTCCTTCAACAGTTGAAAGACAAATCTAGCTTCAATGATCTTTTAAAGGAATTTTTTTTAATTGAAGTCAGTTACAATGTATCAATTTCTGGTGTATAGCACAATGTCCCAGTCATGCATATACATACATATATTTGTTTTCATATTCTTTTTCATGAACGGTTATTACAAGATATTGAATATAGTTCCCTGTGCTCTACAGAAGAAATTGGTGTTTTTATATCTATTTTTATATTTAGTGGCTAACATTTGCAAATCTCAAACTCCCAAATTTATCCCTTCCCACCCCCTTTCCCCGGTAACCATAAGATTATTTACCATGTCTGCTAGCCTGCTTCTGTTTTGTAGATGAGTTCATTAGTGTCCTCTTTTCTTCTTTTTTTGATTCCACATATGAGTAATAACATATGATATTTTTCTTTCTCTTTCTAGCTTACTTCACTTAGTAATGACAATCTCTAGGTCCATCCATGTTGCTGAAAATGGCACCATTTTCTTCTTTTTTATGACTGAGTATAAAGGAATTTTTGATACTGTTCCCTTTCCAAAGGTGCTGAGTAGCCTTTCAAATACACAGATATCACCAACACCAAGGACAACGTAGCAATGAAGGAAGATTAAATATTTACCTATGCATTTGTTCAAATAAAAAAAGCACATCCCAAGGAAGAGAACTAAGACTGATAAGGAAGCTGAGAAGAGGACCTAGATTAGGTATCTGATCACCCACCAGGACTGCCCCACAAGGACACTCATCTTCACAGGACAGGGAGCCTCCCTCACAGCAAGTACATGAGTCTTCAGATGGTCTAAGGGTACCATGGAGCTCCATATGTAGGCATCCAGACTTCTCCTCCAGCCCCACCTGACAGGGTGTTTGGCTCCAGTCCCAGCTGAAACTCAGAGCTAGAGAAGAAGAGAGGGCTCCCCACTGCTCAAACCCAACCCCTCGCACCCTCAGACTCAGCAAGAATCAAGCCCAGTATTATTTTCTTAAGTCTCAATTGCCTTTTCTACAAGAAGCACTCCTAAGAGAAAATATCGATGAAGGTGGGGCCAGGATCAGACTGTTTCATTACTAGTCTCAAGTTAGGTTGCCCACTTCATCTCCCCAGCATGTGTCTGCCAGGACTTGAGGGCTGTGAGTTGCTGTGTTCAGATCTAGGCAGGACTGGACTGGTCTCCGATTACAGAGCCCAGGTTTGTGTGATACAGCACAGAGCTTCCGTGAGGTGAGAGCTATGTCAAGAGATAAACCAGATCGAGTCAAGGTTGAAGAGTGTATATACTCTCTAGCTGGGGATGGCCAAACGTATCACATATTATACTGTTCACGAACAAAGGAAAATATGAGTGAGATTAAAGTTGGTTTGTTTTTTGTTAGTTTAGTTGGTCTCCTAAATGCGTTTGCTTGTTGATATCACACCTGTGGACAAGATCTCAAATGTACAACAGGCCAGTTTTGGTTCACTGAAAAAAAAAGTTGTCAAGGACTAAGTTCAGTTCCAAAACATATTTTCACAAGTATCAAGGGCTAAGAGTAAGTATAGACCCTGAAGTCTATGTTCTGTTCATCGTGTGCTTTCTTTTCAAAAATTGCCCCATTAGATTTAAGATAGCGATTGTTTTTCTTAAAATAAGGTGTAGGAGTTTTCAGTATACGCCATAGAAATTTAGAATTTGTATTATATTTTCTGTTACACCAAAGAGAGATTAGGGAGTGTCTACTAAGACTGTTAACCTTGACTATGTAGTTTTTTGGAAACAGAAGTGTTACAATCTTATATATAAATTATCTGTTGTTTTCCCCACAGAAGAAAAGGAGGCTCTGAGTAAATTTAACTGGTTTTGACTTCTGAAAAATCACTTCATAGCCAAGAAAAGGATGACAATATGGTGGTATGTGGTGTTTGAAGCCTAATTGAAAGATGGGATTTTTTTTTCGAAATATCAGGGTTAAGATTAGGATTATGGCTAGCGTATCTGCCTCTTACTGAGACGTCAGGAAAGGTTTACCTGGACCAAGTTCTAAAGACCAAGAAGTTGTCAGGCAGGCAGAAGAGAAAGAAGCAAAGTTATGGAGGCAGGGACTTTTTTTTACACTGTTCTACATGCTCTTCTTCATAGTAGCTCTTTCCTTTATGACTACTTCTCAGTTTTCTATAGTGATGTGGAATTAACATGAAAAAATTGACATCTGTATCCAAATAACTTCAAATTCCTCTTCCCTTCACTGCCACACCTTTTCCTGAAGCCAAAGAGTGATGCCAGTACCGTATCAGTTCTCTTTCCCTGCCGGACCTAGTTATAGTCAAAGTACACAAGGAAAGAAATGGGAGAGAAAGGAAGGAGATTGGGGAGGGAGATGATAGAGTGAGGAAAGGTGGAACTGGGGGCTCTGAATCTGGGGTACCACTACCTGTCCAGGTAACCTTGGGCAGGTGAAGGTATAGAGGTTCCGTTTCCCACTCCATGAAATAAGGAGGTTTCAATGGGTTATCTCCCGAGATCCTTCCAACTCTGTCATTTGATCATTCTTGAAGTCATCTTAAGATCTGCAGTACAACCCACACTTATGAAATGAAGTATCCTGTAGACTATTTGAGTTTTTTCATTAAAATGTTATCATGGACTTTAAAAATCTGTGCCAAAATTTTATTCCTAACAAGTCAGAAAAAGAAAGGAGCTAATCACTGAACTTGAATTGTCTTGTGATTTAAGCTGTTCATTTTGTCTTCTGTTTCTCCAAGGCCTCTCCCTAGTAAATGAATTCTTATTGTTTGACTCATGCTCTGCTTTCCAACTTGGGTGCTGGGAGACCCCAAAATAATGTGTCCATACCCTACATAGTCTTTTATGCTTTAACATTTTCCAAGCATACACTGCATTACACTTTGATAAAGAATTTGATTTTGTGTTTTAAAATCATCCCCAAAAATTAAAGCAAAAGAAAAGAATAAGATTGTACACTTTGCTATAAGCTTAGAAAAATCCAGTGTCCTCAGATTGACACCCTCTCCTTAAAGGAGACTCCACATGGACAGCAACTTCATAAGCAGAATATTGTTTGATGAGCGTGGGATCCTAGCAACACCATCAAGCCAATAGAACCAACTCTATCTTGAGCAGAAACAACAGAATGGTCTTGTGATTTATTCATTTTGCCTTCTGTTTCTCCAAGGCCTCTCCCTAGTAAATGAATTCTTACTGTTTGACTGTCCTAGACTCTCACGGTCCATAGTCAAAATATTCTTTCTCTTAACATGGCTGAAAACAGGCATTCTTTACGTTCTTTTGGTTGCGTTCTCTTTCCTAGGTTCCATGCAGAGTGAACGTGAGCTGAAACAGCTGGTCATGCTACAGATGTGACCGTAACTTACCTAGCCCCCGTCTCCTGAAGCTGCAAGCTGACATTACAGTAAGCCCAGCATGACTCTACCCAGTGACTGCCCTGTAACATCTCAATCTCCAGGGTCAGAATTAATGCTATTTCAGATACTAGTTCTGCAGACTATGAAGGTGTGATGTCCTCCATCCCCCTGTTCAGGCACTCCACAGGCACCCATTTAGCCACTGTCCTTGGATGACTTCTGTGGGTGCTGCTTTAGTCTCTAGATTAAAGATAGTCACAGATTTTGCCACTCATGATGCTAATGGTTTCTTTGAATGGTGCCATTTATTATTTCCTTGAGGAAACAATCACAGTGATTATTAGCTTGATTATACTGCTACTCGATTATAGTCTTTTGGACGCGAAATGACAATTTCCCTAATTCAGTTTTTAAGCATTAAGCATTGATCAGATTCTAACTCATGGTGTATCATGGGAAGCAGTTTAGTTGTCCTTTCAGTTAGAGATAAAAATGTGTGTCTGATGAAATGGATGATTTAAGAAAAAAATTGGGGAAAGTGCACATTTTCCAGGGTTAGGATTTACATGTAATTTGTCCCTGTCTGAGCACTTGTTAAATACCACTAATGCTTTCTTTGTGCAGAAGTGTCAAGTCCATCATCTGGTAGCAAAAGCACATTTTCCTTTGGGCCAGGTGATGACACAATATCCAGCAACGTAACGATGTACCCCAGCAGCTCCAGGGTTGGAATTAGGATGAAATGTTTTTATTCTATTTAGCTAGACTCTGGGAAATGTTTGGCTTCCTTAAACAGAGATCAACTAGCCCCTTGTCAAATAGATCACCTGCAGAAATGCCTTTGTAAAAGCAATTGCCATGGGATAGTGCTAAGAAAAGAAATGGTACGGGGCAGAGGCAACCTAACAACCCAGGACCCTGCACTGCCATGGGACCCATTATAAAAAAAAAAAAAAAAACCAGCTTCTGAGGGCAGAGGCCACAGAATATGGCCAATCAGTGTTAGCTGAACATATGCACCTTAGACTTCACATGCATGCACCTGGCTTAAGATGCTAGCTTCCACCTGCCCTGTAACAGGGGCAAGATGGAGCTGAGGACATTTATTAATTACCACTGTGTGTCTGTTCTGTATACAAACACTTTATAGCAGGTCCCTGCTTATCTGCTGAAGACATTTCCTTCCATTTTCAGGATGTGATTTGAAAACTCTTGTAGTCTGCCACAAAAAAAAAAAAAGAATTGATGTCATTTCACAGAGGGCTATTAATTTTGTCCTGAAGAAATAAGATTTTTATAACATGCATAAAATTTGCCTATAAAGATTGCCAGCTAGATTAGTATCTTTGTCATTAAATGGATGTCTAACACAATGGTGATGGATTTAAGAAAACATTGTAAGGGAGAATTATGCATAAACAAAGTGTCATTTTGGCAAAATCAGCACATCCAACTTTCTTAAAAAATGTGGTTAATACTGTTGCTATGGACCAAGATAAACTTCATCACAAAGTGTTTTTTTTAATAATAATTCTTCTCATTTATTTTTGTCCTTTTCTGCTAGTATAAAATTTATATACAGTGAATGCACATATTGTAAGTGTACCACTGGATTAATTTTGATGGTTACAAGTACCTGTGTAAATACTACATAGTCAAGAATTTTTCCATCATGTCAGAAAGCACCCTTGTTCCCCTTTCTAATTAATTCTGTCCCAACCCTACTACAACCATGTTTGGATTTTTGTTACCATAGATTTATTTTCCCCGTTTTTGTACTTCATATAAGTGAAATCATAAAGGGTTGACATTTTTATTTTTCTGGCTTCTTTAATTCAACACTTTAATTTTCAACAACTTTAATTCAACTGTGAGATTCATTTAAATTGTTCCATATACCAGTGTTCATTTTTTAAGTCCCTGTCCAGAATTCCACTCTGCAACTTCTGCATCATCAGCATCCCCCACCAGCATGCTACCTTTGTTACAATTCATGAACCTACATTGACACATCATTATCGCCCAGAGTCCATAGTTTACATTAGCTTCACTCTTGGTGTTTGAGTTTATATGAATCTGGACAAAAAAAAAAATCCACGTTTTTAAAACTTGAAAGGCATGTTGCTGTGCTGTAAACCCCAGGAAGCCATTCAGAAAAACGAGTGTCACTATGTCTTATAAGGCTAGTTATATTATAATACAATTGTTACAGGCTTTAAAAGTAGAAAATTTTTATTTCAGTTCTTATTCTTCAACTTGGGCACTTTAGTCCTATTTATGCAGCTTAAGTTTCATAAGATGTATTTTGGTTGTTTTGCCACTGTTACTTGCATATATCTTAAATTTCTGGATACGCATGCTGCGTTTGATGTTGTGATCACTCATATTTTCCAGTATGCTTTAATCTCTTGATTTTCTTGGATCTACTCCTCTCTCTTCATCAGTGTCTCTCTCTCTTTTTTTTTTTTTTTTTTTGAGCTCCTTCCCCTCTGCCAGTCTCCCTAATGGTTGATATCCCCACTACAGTTCTCCTTACTCATTCACTTTGTATGGTCATACCATCTAATACAGGATTGACCACAACTTCTGTGCTTAGGACCCCCAGATCTCATCTGCAGCCCTGATCTGGTTTTTGAACTCCAGGTTCACACATGAAAGCCTTTCTAACCCTGACCAAGGCTGTTTTCCCTCCTGTATTTCCAGCTGAGTTAATGATGGTCCCACCCCCACACCTGCAGGGCATCCCAGAAGCCACCTACATCCACTCACTGGCTGCTGCTCAGGACACTTACCACATCTATCTCTTCCACTCCATCCCTAGTACGAGTGCATAGTTCAAACCACCCTCAGGTCTCACTTGGATAATTGTGATTTCTTCCTAATCAGCAGCCCTAACTCTTCCTTAAATCTGTGGCTCCCACTTAGACAGGTTAGTTAGACAGGTGGAGAAAACAAAAAAAACAGCCACCTTACCACTGCTTAAAATTGGTTCCCACATTCTACAGAGAGTCTAGAAAGTGAAGTCCCATCTGCTTAAAATGGATCCAGGTTTCTGCAGGATCTGTCAGGATCCTCTCTAAACTCATTCTCTGCATTCCTCTGCTCTCACTTGGCACATTTCTAAGAAACACACTTTTGTTTTCCTCCCAAAATGCTAGGATTTTTCATGTTTCTGTGCCTTTTTTCATCCTTGTCGCATTTCTCCTCCCTATTTCCATTTAAAGAACAGTCTCTTTTGAAGGAGATAAAAACCCATCCAAGGGAGTGGAATCCATCTAACATAAATATGATGTGGCCAAAATGTCATACTCTCAGAATTGCCCGCCCTTAAGGGTTATTGCCAGTATCTCAGTTTTCTAGACAGGGCGAGGGTGAGGACGACCTGGAGGTGCTGCCGGGCTGCACAGAGCCGCCCTTTCCTCTCTGTTACCACATCTCCTGTTGCTCAATACACAGAGCATCTTGGAAGAGTTTCGTGATTTTTCTTCTAAGTGACATTGTCCTCTTCTTATATCTTGTATCTTACTGTATTCAGAGAGGCCTAATTCTTACAATTTTTCTTTGAACAGTGATGTAACTCAATTTTTTAAAACATCTTTCTTAGCTCTCTCCCTTCCCCAATACCAGACAGAGTAAATTCTCTGCTACAAAAAAAAAAAGAGCAGATAGCTTTGTCCAAACTTAAAAAAAAATCTTTTGTAATAAGTTCAAAATATATCAAAAGTAAATTAAGACAATCCACTTGATAATTTCCTGAGCATGTGTAACACACCAGCCCACCAGATGATGTGTTCCTAAGGGTGCAAAGTCATGTGGGATGTGGTCCCTGATCTTGAGATGTCTGGAGGGCTCTGACAAAAATGCCGAACAGTGTGTTGGAATGGTGGCTTTAACATGATAGCTTTTCAAATTGGCACTAAATCACAAGAGGGGGTCCTAAGGAGACCATCTGAGATACAGTGAACGGGGTCTGGCTCTACCTGGAAAATCTCAGTGTAGGAGATAAACTTACTGGCTGCTTTGACAGATGAGCAGAAGAGAGAGACTACATTAGGGTTAGGCAATATTCCTAGAGTTTATCAAGGAGAAGGATGCAGGAAGGTTGCAGTGGACCAAATGTAAGCCATGCGTGCGATAGAGAGCCAGGATGGACCTGTCTTAGCTCTTGTCCAAAGGCGCCACCTACAGGGATGAACAGTCCCCAGCACGAGCACTGCCAAGTGCTAATGGTTGAGAAAGGACTAAGTGACCAGCCAGAATAGAGGCAGTCATCCTCATCAAGGGAGCTGCAGGTGAGAAATTCCCAACTATGGCAGTGAGAGATCTCCAGAGAGCACACAAAAGTGCCCATGAGAGACAGAATCTGTTTTCTTCCATCTTCTAAGACCAGGCCATTACAATTAATAATAAATAATAATAATAATAATACCATTAAAAATTGTAATAATAATAATAATAAAGGGGTGTAGAACTCAGTGGTAGAGCATGTGCTTAGCATTCTTGAGGTCCTGGGTTCAATCCCCAGTACCTCCATTAAAATAAAAAACATTGGGAAGAGTTTGATATTTGCAAATATTAACTACTATATATAAAAATAGATTTTAAAAATTTCTTCTGTATAGCACAGGGGACTATATTCAATATCTTGAAATAACCTTTAATGAAAATACATGTGTGTGTGTGTATTTTTATATATATATATAAATATATAAATAACTGGGACATTGTGCGGTACACCAGAGACTGACACATTGTAACTGACTGTACTTCAATTAAAAAAAAGTTGAAAGGCCAGGGAGTATGGTCACTATGATGATACCTGTCAAGAAAGACCTTTCCTGCTGCTCTTGCCTCTCCTCCCTCTTTCCTGCCCCAAGCTTGAAGGTATCAGAAACATCCATTAACAACACTGGGAAGATGGAATGAAAGTTCTGAGTCAGAAGAGAAGATGACCCCATCCTTCTCTGAGTGCGGACCTCTCACCTGCGGTGCACCTGAGGCGAGCGACTAGCAGGTGTGACCAGTCACCATAGTTAGAGAGCAATGCAAAGTGTCCGGGGAGCGCAGGGTAAGGGATGACTAACCTCTTGAAGGAAGTATGGATGGCTTCCCAGAGCACGTCACTCTTGCTCAAGGTGTTACAGAATGGGGAGAAGTGTGTGAAAATGACACATTGAGCAGAGAGTTCCAGCTTAGAGAACACAACCAGCCAAGATGGAGGCCAAGATGACCCCAAGACGGAACCCAGAACCACACGGTGTCCTGGATGCGTGTGAGCTGTTCAGTGTCACTGGGACACGGAACACAGTGCCAGGTGTGGTACCTGAGAACTCCAGAAAAAAAGAGACTCAGGTCAGATCATGAGAGCTTTTGCATACCATGGTAAAACTTTTAGTAAAACTCTCCACAACATTAAGGGATCTATTTTAAAAATATATCCTGAGCAAATAATACCTGTTAAATTTGATTTCTACCTTCCAAAATTTAAATGTAATTCCGACGTGCTTCTCTGTTGGCATTCTGCTTGGCAAAAGTGTCATCTCTCTAATGTGGATTTTCCCTTTACTGTGTCAGGGATCATTCCTCTGTGGTGAAGCTGCTTTCCTGGGGTTTACCTTGTTGGTTTTTTTGGGTTGTTTTTTTTTTTTTTTGCCTCTGGATTTCACAGTCCAAAAAAAATGGTCATTTCAAAACCTTTTTCGTGGCAGTACCTCCAGTGTTACAGCTAAACCTCGTGCAAACTGTGAAAGGTCAGCTAAGTCCATAGGCTGCTTTTTAGAATGTGGAGAAGCAGATGGATGGGTATATCTGCTTGGCCAAATCTTGGCTTTTCCTCCCATTGGAAGCTGTGTTCCTCTCTCCCACCCACCCTCAGAGCCTGGTGCCCACCCTGGCTTCCTTCAGCCTTCTCTTTCTAGGGGGACCTTCTCTACTTCTAGGGGTAGCATTTCCGGCATCTCAGCTGATAGGATCCCTCAGATTTCTGTCTGTCTTTGTGATAAGCAAATATTAGGGGAAAGGGCACGGCAGTCCCTGGATTCAGAACCCTGGCTGGACTGTCCCTTAACACGAAGAGCACTTCGCTCCTGAGAAAAAGCCTCCTGAAATTCATTGCCATCTTTTCCTCAACAGCAGCTAACTTGCCTGACTGACGGCTAGTCGGCCAGTTTTCCCCAGCTGAGAAATTTCTTTGTGCAATGGAGACCTCTTAAAGGAGAACAATGAGTGGAATTCTAACTAACTTTGTCACACTACACATCCCGGAATCAAAGTTATGGCGTGAGACTCCTTGACGTGGTTTTTTTTTCCCTGTGTTTTGTTTGTTTCTCCTCGAGCCTGTGGGATCTGTCAGGTCTGATGATTGTGACAAACACCCAGGGCCGAAGGAGACAGGGGGCCTGGGAGGCTGAAGCATTCTTAATTTGTCCTTTGGTGTCTCCCTAGAGCCTGCCCTGCACTTTGGGGATGCTGAGTATCACGTCGATGGAAGTGCTGGCTCCATGGAGGTGTGTGTCTGGAGGACAGGCACTGACCTTTCCCCAGTGTCCTCTGTCACCGTGCGGTCCAGGAAGACAGAGCCTGCATCAGCAGAAGGTGAGAGGGATGTTTAAATAAAGTAAGCTACAAAGAGAATAGTGCACAACACGGGGATTGTAGCCAATATTTTATGATAGATATAAATGGAGTATAACCTTTAAAAAAAGAAATATGTTTAAAAGATATTAAGGAAAAAAATAGCTCTCATTTTTTTAAAGCATGTAAGCAGTTGGGTGAGTCCTCAAAGGGAACAGGAAACGAATAAAAGCAGCTGATTTGAAAATGTGGGAAAAAATGTACAATTACCCAGATGTGCGTCTAGGGCGAAGTCCCATCCATCAAGTGTAGCATGCCTAGTCTGTG